TATCTATCTATCTATCTATCTATCTATCTATCTATCTATCTATCTATGTATCTACGTATCTATCTATCTGTCTGTCTGTCTGTATGTCTGTCTGGTGTCTGAGATGACATATTAGTGTTTAGATTTATGACTTCAAAATAATATCCCAACTAAACTTGCATGTATTCCCAATGTTCAGGTGGTAAAACAGAATGTGATTGGTCTGCAGTGGTTGGCGAGTGAAGCCTGGACAACAGCAGCTGTGCTCCAAACACCCCGTCTCATGCCATATTTGGGTGGTACACTGGGCATTGCAATCCGTCGAGGAGAAATACCAGGACTTAAAGATTTTCTCTTAAAAACACATCCTGGTGGCAACAACAATGAAAACAGCATGGTGAGATCGCAACAGTGATTTGGAATGTTAAAAATCAAATATTGTCCTAATTCTTTTTTCTTTATTTATTTATTTAGGTAAGACAATTTTGGGAATATACATTTCAGTGTAGATTTGCTCCACCACCAGCAACTTGGGTAGAATCTGGTGGAGCTTTGTGCACAGGTGAAGAACTCTTAGAGACTGGGGAGACTGAATTTCTGGATGTGTCTAACCTCAGGCCTGAGTACAATATTTACAAAGCTGTGTATGCACTGGCTCATGCTCTTAATAACATGCTGCAGTGTGAGCCGGGCAGAGGGCCGTTCAGCGGGGGTAGCTGTGCCAACATTCAAACCTTTCAGTCATGGCAGGTATTGCATCAGATTACACTCATCTAACATTTGCACATAGAGTATTTTTAATCAGTTGCTGCACATCCTGAGACGTCAATTAAAATAAATTATTGAATAAATCCATCAGTAGTTCACAATAAATGGCCTTGATGTCTAATAAAATACATTTACCTGTCTCGTTATGAAACTGTTGGTTAAATTTGCAGATTCTGTATTACTTAAAAAAAGTCAACTTTACAACTCCATTTGGTGATCAAGTCTCATTTGACAAAAATGGTGATGCATTGCCAATATATGATATCCTAAACTGGCATTGGCTCCCCGATGGAGGAATTAAAATTCAAAATGTGGGTGTAGTTAAAAAGGCAACTTTTGGTGGTGAGGAAATGAGAATTGAGGAGCACAAAATCTTCTGGAACTTTGACAACAATCAGGTTTCTGTTTATTTGTGTTTAACAAATCTGTTCTGTCTGACACCAAAGTGCTGAAGATGAAATATGATTTTAAAAATTGCAACGTCCACAGCCACCTCGGTCAGTGTGCAGTGAGAGCTGTCCCCCAGGGACTCGGATGACCAGAAAGAAAGAACAACCTGTCTGCTGTTTTGATTGTGTCCCTTGCTCTGAAGGAAAGTTCAGCAACAAAACAGGTTGGTCTCAGGGTGGCCATTGCATTTTATAACAAAATCCTCCTCTTTTTAATGTTCAGGGAAGCACATGCCCAATAATACACGAGCCAAGGAAATTATCATTAACACAATGGATATACAGTAAATGTTTGTAGAATAGAATAAATCTGTTCTGCGCAGCTAGTCTGGCTGTGTGAATTGGATATACAGGTACAACATGTATACATGAGTTTTCATCTAAAAGTATCACTAATTTTTACAGAAATTCAAACGTTTTAGCAAAACACTATTTGAAATGATTTTAAGCTATGCAAGTTTCTTCCAACTACGCTAATTTCGACATTTTGCACATGGAGATGAGTAATAGAATGTACAGTAATTTCTGGACTATAAGCTGCTACTTTTTTCACAAGCTTTAAGCACCACGGCTTAAACGATGCTGCAGATAATTTATGGATTATATTTTTGATGAGCTAACGGGCTTCATGCTGCCAAAACATTTAGCCTCTTCACACCGGGACGCTCACATAGCTGTCCAACACACGTCTCTCTTGGGGGGGGGGGGTCCTTGTGATGCAATGAGACTACCTGTATAAATAAACGTTAAAAAAATAATATGACCAATGAAATTACCGAACAGGTCACATATCCCCCCACACCCATTCTCTTCTCCCCTCCCTGTTTTACCCCAGGGAGCGGGGAAACAAAGTATTTGAAGCCTCTCAAAATAAGTGTGACTCATGCATTAATGTGGCACTCGTCACTCGGTGGGGCTTGGAAGACTGGCGGCGAGAAATCGTTTAACAAAACTGGTCGCATGCGAAGAGCAACTGTTGCTCAAGTCTTGCTAGTGGATCTTGACATTGGAGCAGGGTAAAAAAAAAAAATCCACAATATGTAACAAAATCACTATCTTCACCTTCCTCCTCCACAGGAGGAAGATGAAGATAGTGATCTTGTTGCTTATTTGTGTATGTTACTGGTACGTATTTAAAAGTTTAAAAAATCTTTCTCTGTAAATACCTCATATGTGGACATCTGTGGCTTATATACAAGTGCTGCCTATGTATGTACATTTTTTTTATTTAGTGGGTGTGGCTTATATTCAGGTGTGTTCAATAGTCTGGAAATTACAGTAATTCTATAGTCAAATTATCAAAAGAAGTGTGTTCAGATGATGTAATGAGAAGTGCATAAGTCTGCATCTACACTAGTCAGGATACTTTTATATATTTTTTTCTCTCCATTTATGAAAAAGAAATACATCCATATTATTCTTACAAAAACTCTGAATCACCCAGACTTCAGCACTAGATGGTGAGAATGTCCACATTGACAACATATCAAAATACAGACAAGGACATTTCTTGTTTGGCTTAAGATTTGTGCAAAACCCTTTTTTATTTTATGTTTTCCTGTGTGCAGTTTCTTGTCAGTTATTTACTGTTTAAGCACACAATCAAAATTTGACGGCAAAATTAAAATAATTAGTAACATATGTATAAAAGTCATTTAAAAAAAAACTTCATTGTTGTTTAGGTTTAGACAGATATATCAAATTTTCTAGTAAAGCTCCATATTATGCACGTCCACGGATAAACCAAAATCAGTATTTTAAAACAAACTCACATTTGGAAATGCATTTTTAAAATGTGTTTCTTTGACCAAAACCTCAGTTTGTGTGTGGATGAGTGGTGCAAGCACTGCTTAAAAAATATTATTAAAAGTATTTGGAGCAGTAAAGATGGGGCCTGAAACTGTTAAGTTGAATGAAAGCATAGTGAACAAAAAAGAAAAAAAAAAACATGGGAACATTATTTGTTCCTTCTGAAATCCAGTCTACTTAGATTGAAGGTTCATCTTTGATTTTATAAAAAGTGTTAAATGTGACATGTCAAACTGAGACCAAATCTAAATAGCATCATCGTTTTGTTTGTTTGTTCGTAGACTCTGTGGCATGCATCAGTTGTCCAGAGGATTTCTGGTCCAGCCCACACCATGACAACTGCATTCCCAAGAAAACTGAGTTCCTATCCTATCAGGAACCTTTGGGTGTTTGCTTGACAACAGCTTCATTGCTGGGGACATTTGTCTGTACCATTGTTTCGGGCATCTTTACCTATCACCGTAGCACACCGATAGTACGAGCCAACAATTCAGAACTCAGCTTCCTGATTTTGGTGTCACTGAAGTTATGTTTCCTGTGTTCCCTGCTGTTCATTGGACGACCCAGACTGTGGACATGTCAACTGAGACATGCAGCGTTTGGGATCAGTTTTGTACTTTGTGTCTCGTGCATTCTGGTTAAAACCATGGTGGTTCTGGCTGTGTTCAACGCCTCCAAGCCAGGAGGAGGGATCCATCTTAAGTGGTTTGGTGCTGTACAACAAAGAGGAACAGTGTTTATTCTCACTTGCATTCAGGCAGCGATCTGCACAATCTGGATAGTCTCAGCTTCACCAGTACCTTATAAAAACACCGCCTACCATAATGACAAGATAATTTATGAGTGCATAGTTGGGTCCACGATTGGTTTTGCTGTGTTATTGGGGTATATTGGCTTACTGGCCATCCTCAGTTTCCTGCTAGCATTTTTGGCTAGGAATCTTCCAGATAAATTTAATGAAGGTAAACTCATCACTTTCAGCATGTTGATCTTCTGTGCCGTGTGGGTGGCCTTTGTTCCTGCTTATGTCAGCTCACCAGGCAAATATGCAGATGCAGTGGAGGTGTTTGCCATCTTGGCCTCTAGTTTTGGCCTCTTGTTGGCGCTGTTTGGACCCAAATGTTACATAATCCTGCTGAGACCAGAGAAAAACACAAAGAGAGCAATAATGTCTCGCAGTCAATTCAAGTAATAGTTATATTGATAAACATTACAACAAAAAGATTTTCATGCATTTGCAACAGGCATGTAATATTCAAATGAATGTGCAACATTTATAGTATTTATGCAAAGATATTTTGTCATATCATGAAAAATCAATTGTTGGAAGAATAAATTGTGTAATAACATGAACAATATGTTAGAAGGAGAGATGTCTTGCATCAGTTAAAGTATATTAAAAAAAAAACTTTTCTTGAATAAATAGGAGCGTAAATGAATAGCCAATTTATTGCGGACCTATTTTTATGAAAAAGAAGAAAAAATTAATTATCTGAACTGTGCACAATATGCCTAAGTGAATAAATAATACACAACACTTTGGGTCATAAACCATTAAAAGATTCAATAAAAGCCAGTTACAGCAGTTGTACTTTAATTCCTGAAAGAAATACCCTATATAGAATGATTCATTTTTCACGATTCAACAAAACATATTATGCAAAACTGTAAAAGGTTTGACTTTTAAATTGGACCTATGTAAGCCAAAACAACAAAAAATAGTTTTTTTTTATTCAACAGTTGCATTTTGATGAAATAAGCGTTCGTTGTGAGTACATTGTATAAACTACACAAATGGTTTGCAAGAAGTTGTCAGTTCCTTGGTTACATGCTACATTTATTTATTTAGTCTGCTCAGTATTGAATATTTTGTGTCAAGAGTCAACGTACAGTGTGGGAACGTTTTGCCTTAAGAAATGTTCAGGTCATATTCATGAGCTTCGTGTCCTTGGGGTCTTTGTTCTGATGGGTTGTGTGAATAATTAAGTCGTGACAAAAGAGGACTATGTGGTTGTATATAAATTAGGAGTACCTACACATGCAGATTCGTTGGTTGAAGAGCAGTAATGGGGGCCTACATTGTTAAATGTTTGCTGATGAATGTCTATCAGATCATTATTTATTTCTCTATTTTCTTTTCTGAGTCTTCCTTTCTACCTTCATCTTGTAATTTGCTAAGAAAGTTCTACATGAATGGTCTGCACAAGCCTGGCGATGTAATTCTGGGAGGGCTTTTTGAAGTCCACTACAGTTCTGTGTTCCCTGAGCAGGCGTTCACTGCAGCACCACATCAGATCAGCTGCCAGGGGTAAGTCTCCTGCAGGTAGCAGACACAATTCCCAGAATTAGGACTTTAATGGCTGATCCTAACATTATTGATTATTAGTTTTGACACTCTAGGATTCAGACATGCCATGACCATGGCCTTTGCTATCGATGAGATTAACAAGAACCCCAGTTTGTTACCTAATGTGAGCCTGGGTTACAGTCTTTATGATAATTGTGCTACTCTTGCTATTGGGTTCAGTGCTGCATTGTCAATGGTCAGTGGTCAAGAGGAGCAGTTTTTGCTTCAGAACTGTTCAGGTACCCCTCCAGTTGTGGGAATTGTCGGCGATCCTTTTTCCACTTTTTCTATTGCCGCTTCAGATGTTTTAGGTTTATATAAGCTGCCTATGGTAAGTTCTCCTTCAACATCTTTTGATATAGTTCAGTCAGTAAGTTGAACTTTTGAAATATTGCAAATACTTTAATTTAACAATGTGCTCAACTTGCATGCGTATGGTTTTTATAGGTGAGTTATTTTGCCACATGTTCTTGCCTGAGTGATAGGCGGCGATTTCCTTCCTTCTTCAGAACAATCCCAAGTGATGCTTTCCAGGTAAACCTAATTTAATAACACTGTTTTCATGAGTATTTTAAATGCAATAAGTCAAAAATACCATTTGCCAGTTGAGCTAATTTTGTTTGTATTAATCATTTTGGCTTAGCAATGAAATAATTCCTTTAAGCTGACACTTCACCTGTTCACTCAGGTGCGTGCCATGATTCTGATTCTTAAGCATTTTGGTTGGACATGGGCAGGACTTCTGGTCAGTGATGATGACTATGGCCTCCACGTTTCCAGATCCTTCCAAACTGACTTGACTCAGTCAGGTGGGGGCTGTCTGGCCTACACAGAGATTTTGCCCTGGGGCGATCATCCAAACGAATATGAGAGGATTGTGAACGTGATGAGAAAATCCACAGCACGTGTGGTAATTGTGTTTGCACACCAAATGCACATGGTTCAACTCATGGAACAGGTTGGAAAACTTGAATTAGTGTTTACAAAGAATTCATTTCTAAGCTTTTCGTGTGCACCAAAATATACTTATTCACATTTGAGTCTTCAAAATGTAATCTGAAATGTGTTTTTACAAACTCATGATACTCATGATTCAATTCTCAATAATATATGATAACGTTGCTGTGTCTTCAAAATATTAAAAACTCAGGCAACAATTTTGCTCATCTTTAGCCCATTTTTCTATATTTTATTCTGTTTTTAACCATTATATTTGAACTCTTAAATGTTTTTTGAAACAACACTAAAAGCAGAGAATAATATTAACATATTGTATGTCAATATAATTATTGTTGTTACTAAAAGGCTCAGGTTTGATAGCTTTAAATGCATACGTTAAACTTTAATGACGTTATGCAATGTTCAGGTGGTGAAGCAGAATTTGACGGGCCTGCAGTGGATTGCTAGTGAAGCTTGGACATTAGTTGATGGACTTCAAACTCCCACCTTTATGCCATTTCTGAGAGGAACACTAGGGATTGCCATTCGTCGAGGAGAAATTGCAGGTCTCCAAAACTTCCTGTTGAAAATTCACCCTGAACAGAACAATAAAAATAACGATGAAAACAACATGGTGAGAGTTGTCCTGTGCAAGGTTATGACAAATTATGCAATATAAAGTATTTTATAATGATTTGTGTTAATGTATGGTTGTTGTTGCTTTCATTTCAGATAAAACTGTTTTGGGAACACATATTTAACTGTAAGTTTTCACCCCCTCCAGCAGGCTGGGTGGAGGCTGGTGGGGCACAATGCACTGGACAAGAAGACCTAGAGAATGTGACGACTGACCTGTTGGATGTTTCTGAACTCAGGCCAGAGTACAACATTTACAAGGCTGTTTACGCACTAGCACATGCACTTAATGACATGCTGCGGTGCGTTCCAGGGCGAGGGCCTTTCAGCGGGAAGAGCTGTGCCAATTTGCAAACATTAGAGCTTGGGCAGGTTTGTTGGTTTAAAAATGCCTCAAAGCTTTCCCAAAATTATTGACTATAAAAGTTTATTTTTAAGCATTAGCACAAAATGTAAAATGAAAAACATAACACAATAATGTTTCTGTTAAATGTGCCTTATGTCTGTTTAACTTTATAAATTATTTTAATTATTTTTTTGTTGTTGTTAAAAGGTGAAGACTATTTGAAAATCTGTATTTTTATCTTGAATTTGAATGCAACATGTTTTAGGAACATTAACAAATAATTGTGCTAAATGGGAAATTAAATTATGGAAATTTGGAGGAAAAATTACAATAAAATTTGGTGTGATAAGAACTACAAATAAGAACATTTTTAATGATTAAACTGAATATAGGTTTTAATTTATTTGATTTATTTCTTGGCAAGTTGCAATTTATTGAAGCAAATTTGTAGTAAACTATTAAAACAAATAAAACAAAAAAACATGTTTTTATCATTTTTTCTCACTCTGCATAAATCATTAGCATCCTAAATCTACTGATTTTATAATTTCTTGTTTTAACATGTAACCTTGATTTTAATAAATGGAAAAATAAAACTGTAATACTAAAGTAGTTTAATTAAACTAATTAGTTAAATCTCAGTCTCAACAGTTATGAGTACAGCTTCAGATAACATGTCAAGAACAAAAATGTAGTAATGTAAATTTGTTAAAAGAAGTAATGCAGGTGGAAGCATCTCCTGAACTTGAATAAGTTGGTCTGTGGTGATGCTGCTCTTCCAGTTACATTTGTTGCTCATGCTATTTGTAACCATGGTAACATCACAGATCCATGACTGTGAACTGTGTGGTCCCAGAAATCTTCAACCCTTCAATCACATGTGTCTCATAGGCAAAGAAACCTCACTTGGAATTTTTTTAAAGCTATTAAACATTTATAATCGAAACAAGAAATTGCTTTAAAAAAGTTTAAAATACCAGAGAAAAATTGTTATCTTGTTCATTGGTTAACTTTTCTGACTAAAAAGATTGCGTTAAATAATTTCCTACATAACAATGACATTCATGGCACTGATCTACTGTTTATGACGCTTTTAAAACTTGTATACACAGTTAAAACGAAGAACAAATTAATATTTTTTTTAAGAAATAACGTATTTTATACATCTGTTGAAGGTTTTATTTCCCTTTTTACAGCTTATGTATTACCTGGAAAAGGTCAATTTCACTACATCGTTCGGTGACCAAGTGTCATTTGATGAGAATGGTGATGCATTACCAATATATGATGTCATGAACTGGCTGTGGTTGCCTGATGGAAAAACTAAAGTTCAGAGTGTGGGTGATGTTAAGAGATTGGACTCAAATGATGAAAAACTCACCCTGGATGAAACTCGAATCTTCTGGAACTTTGAATCTAAACAGGTTATGAAGTCATTGTTGTCTATTTTCACTGCATACCATATTCAAATAACAAACCTTGTTCACCTTTTAATTTACAGCCCCCCAGGTCGGTGTGCAGTGAAAGCTGCCCCTCAGGTACACATGTGGTGAGGAGAAGGGGGGAACCTTTGTGCTGCTTTTACTGTGTTTCTTGTTCAGAAGGAAAGTTCAGCAATGAAACTGGTTTGTATCTGTTAATTCTATTTGTTATGTTAATTCATACATAAAATAATTGACAATATCTTGGTTTTGATGCATAAAGCAGTTAAAATCTGAGGAAGCAACATACGTACACTTTATAATAGAGTAGAAACAAAAGATTTGGTCATCAGCAAAAGCACTAAAATGTGCAGCTGTGAAATACATTCACAGGTCAGAAAGTCCAAGGTCAGAAAATTGAAGATTAATTTGAATCATTCTCTTTTTATCTCCAGACTCGTTGGAGTGCTTCAGTTGTCCAGAGGACTTCTGGTCCTGCCCCCAGCGGGACCACTGTATTCCTAAGAAAACAGAGTTCCTTTCCTTTCAGGAGCCTCTGGGTATCTGTTTGACAACCACCTCACTGCTGGGAACATTTATATGTGCAGTAGTTCTGGGAATCTTCACCTATCATTACAGCACACCCATGGTACGAGCCAACAATTCAGAACTGAGCTTCCTGCTCTTATTGTCACTTAAACTATGCTTCCTGTGTTCATTGCTCTTTATTGGACAACCTAGACTGTGGACATGTCAATTGAGACATGCAGCATTTGGACTCAGCTTTGTACTTTGTGTTTCATGCATCTTAGTTAAAACAATGGTGGTTCTGGCTGTTTTTAAGGCCTCCAAACCAGGAGGTGGAGCCCATCTTAAATGGTTTGGTGCTGTACAACAGAGAGGAACAGTTTTTGCTCTTACGTGCATCCAGGCAGCAATTTGCGCTGTGTGGATTTTGACAGATTCACCGGTACCTCATAAAAACACTCAATACCACAATGACATAATAGTGTATGAGTGTTTAGTTGGGTCCATTATTGGTTTCAGTGCTTTACTTGGCTACATTGGAATATTGGCTATCTTTAGCTTCATGTTAGCATTTTTAGCAAGAAATCTTCCAGACAACTTCAATGAGGCTAAACTCATTACTTTCAGCATGCTAGTGTTTTGTGCAGTGTGGATTGCTTTTGTTCCTGCGTATATAAACTCCCCAGGCAAATATGCAGACGCAGTAGAAGTATTTGCTATTTTGGCCTCGAGTTTTGGTCTCTTGTTTGCGCTTTTTGGGCCTAAATGTTACATCATATTGCTAAAACCAGAAAGAAACACAAAGAAGGCCATCATGGTTTCTGCATCAAAAAAATCTTGAAATGGCTCGTGTACTTTAGCCATATTATATTTTACAGTATACAAATGGCTACAACGTTGAATTATGCTGTAAATACCTATAAATCTGACATTTTACATTTGAAATAAATAGTACAATATCATCTGCATATCTTGTGATGTGTTTGTGATAAATAAAAAATGACTACTGTGATACATTATTTAAAAAAAATTTTTTTTTTGTTTGATTGTTTGTTTTTCAACAACTGGTATAAAAAATTCACTTAAACATTATATAATGATTTCCTGATTATTTTTACTTGTTTGCAAGTTTCTGTATTACATTTTCCCACAGACACAATCAAAATATAATTTTTCTATATTGCTATAAGTTGATTGATATATTTTATTTTAACCTCCTAAGACCCGAACTCTTGCATATGTGAATGCCAGGTTGTCCACATACAGTATGTGGATGTCAGGGAGGTTAACAAATATTGTTGGTCTAACAGCTTGTTTCAAAATATTTGTAATTTTTACAAGTGTCTGTTTTGTTTGTTTGTTTTTAATTGTGAATATGATGTTTACACTGATTTGTTTTTTTTTTGTTTGTTTGTTTGTTTTTACTTCAGTAAACAGGAATAAGAACAACTCTTAACAAGACGTATGCCAATGTCCCCTATCACTGAAGGATCTGAATAATGAATATTTGTAGTTTGTTGAGTGTCCAGTGTTTTTCTGGACTGGGAATGAACAGAGAAATGCTATGAAACTAAGCATATTGATATACTAAAATGATGAAAAATAATTATTTATATATAAAATGGGATTATTACTGAACATGTATGACATAATGCTAAAGAACAACTTACATGTTCAAACTGAAATACAGATTTTATCCCTTTATTTGTGTATTGTGAAGGTTGAATATGAATATGAATATATTTTGCTTTACCTCCTTGAAAGTCTGATAGGCTGGTTGATGGAATAAACAGTGACAAGCAAGATGACATCATGTTACACATTTAAGTACCTTCGATCAAACAAAACAAGTGTAAAAAGAATAGCTATGGGGGATTTCTCGGATGCATTTTTGCACCTAACATTCTCTTTTGCGCTGTGCGTTACCCCGTCTCTTACTACCCTGTCTCGTCCTTCTTCTTGTAAATTGTGGAAAAAGTTTCATCTCAATGAAATACACAAACCTGGTGAAATAGTTCTGGGTGGGTTGTTTGAGGTCCACTACACCTCTGTTTTTCCTGAATGGACATATACCTCAGAGCCACAGCAACCTTCCTGCAAAGGGTAAGCATGTCATGCAGTAAATGTGAAATTTTACTATTGTATCCCTGTAGCAACTGTTTAATATATCTCATGTATTTTACTGTAAATATAATCAACATGATATATAAATATTCATCTTTATAATAGTGACATTTGTGTGTCAGCTTTGACACTTTAGGGTTCAGGGATGCTATGACCATGGCATTTGCTATTGATGAGATCAACAAGAACCCTGATCTTCTACCAAACGTAACTCTTGGATACAGTCTTTATGATAACTGTGGTGCACTTGTTATTGGATTCAGTGGTGCGTTATCCCTGGCCAGTGGTCAAGAAGAGCAGTTATTGCTTCAGGAGAACTGTTCAGGGACCCCTCCAGTCCTGGGGATAGTTGGTGACTCCTATTCCACTTTTTCCATAGCAATTGCCGATGTGCTAGGTTTGTTCAAAATGCCAATTGTAAGTCTAGGATATATTTTCATTTGTTTAAAGTTTTTGTACAATATTTTCTAATACTTTCATTCTGCTTTGAAAGTTCAGTGATGTGAAATGATAATGCTTTAGTAACCTTGAAGAAAATGATTTACTTGTGAAAATATGTGTTTATAGGTGAGTTATTTTGCCACATGTTCCTGTCTAAGCAATCGCCAAAAGTTTCCCTCTTTCTTTAGAACAATCCCAAGCGATGCTTTTCAGGTGAGATATAATGTTGAGATATGGAAAACAGATACAGTTTCCACAGACCTTTATTATTAACTTATTTGTGTCAATTTAAAATAAATATATTTTTTAATCTTTTACCCATGACTGATAGTAACATAGAACTTATGAATAATATAAATTACTCAATAATTTTGTTTAGTAGTACAGTATAATAAAATTTTACTCTCTTTAACCTTAATGCTCTTGTTTCACAACAACATTTGCTCAGGTGAATGCTGTGATTCAGATTCTGAAACACTTTGGCTGGACGTGGGTCGGCTTGCTGGTCACTGATGATGATTATGGATTTTATGTTGCCCATTCTTTCCAGTCTGACCTGGTTCAGTCTAGTGGTGGTTGCCTGGCCTACCTCAAAGTTTTGCCCTGGGACAGTAACCCAGGTGAACTAAAGAAGATTGTAAATTTGATCAAGACATCAACAGCCCGTGTAGTCATCGTGTTTGCACATGAAATTCACACTTTTAGGTTGATAGAAGAGGTAAGCAACAAAGCTAGGTTTTTTTTTACTGCATTTGTGAAAATCACATTTTTTTGACACTGTTTAGAACAAAATTTTCAGATGTAGCATTCATTGTTTGACTGTGAAACATAAGTTCAGTAGACACTATGTTTCCATCAGTGTTCAGGCATGTTCGGATACTTGTATACCATTTCTTTTTATACTTTGTACTTTTGGTATTTTGGGGTGTAACTGGGATCTTGGGTACACAATTTCATGCCACCTCATGAACCACGTGATGGGAATGACAATAAAGAACCTTGCACCTCGATTTAAAAAAAGACTATGCAAAGAATGGGAAAAAAATCAGTTTTTGAGAAGTATTGACAAGTTTTAATCAACACACAAGTGATGCAAATTTATTTACAAATATTGCTTTTCTCTGTGTTTTTTACTAATTCTATGCATGTCACCTGATTTTTTTTTTTATTAATAATACAAAAATGTGTTTTTGTATCCACAGGTAGTGCACCAAAATGTAACGGGCCGACAATGGATTGCGAGTGAGGCCTGGGCAACAGCAGCTGTACTTCAGACGCCCAGCTTCACACCTTACCTGGGAGGCACGCTGGGAATCGCCATTCGTCGAGGAGAAATACCAGGACTCAGGGACTTTCTCTTACAAATACTGCCTGACAAAAATGACAACAATGGAAAAAATATGGTATATTTATTATCGCTTTGAAGAAGTGACACATGAAGACCTTTCTAATAAAATGTCTGAACATTGTCTTTTAATGCATTCCAGGTTAGACAGTTTTGGGAACACACGTTTAACTGTAGCTTTAATCCAGCAGATTGGTCTGAAGATGAGGGAGTTCTGTGCACTGGAGAGGAAGACATTAGACAGGCAGAGACAGAGTTTTTAGATATATCTAACCTCAGGCCTGAGTACAATGTTTACAAGACTGTGTATGCGCTGGCATATGCTCTTGATGCCATGCAACAGTGTGAGTCAGGAAAAGGGCCTTTCAATGGCTACACCTGTGCCTCATTTCAAACCCTGAAACCATGGCAGGTAAGATATCAACTTACACTGCAAACAGCTGGCAAATAAGCTGGTTTTAAAGATAAATACATTAAATACAGTTTGCATTCACTGTTCACAGAGAAATAATAAACAAATAATGCCAGGGTATCATTAAATCCTCAAAACTTTGCATGATGTGTATCAATGTCCTCTTTTCTTCTGACTCTTTTGTAGCTTTTACACTATTTGCAAAAAGTCAACTTCACCACACCATTTGGTGATCAAGTGTCTTTTGATGAGAATGGCGATGCTCTGCCAATATATGATGTGATGAACTGGTTGCAGCTCCCCGATGGAAGAGTTGAAGTCCAGTATGTGGGTGAAGTAAAGAGGTCTGCATTCAGAGAAGAAGAACTCTCACTAGATGAAGACGCAATATTCTGGAACTTTGAATCAAAACAGGTTATATATTTCTTTATAGACAGCTCCTTGATAATGTAGATGATAGTTTATACTAGTTTGGAATGACAAAATGTTTTGTTTTTTTTCAGCCCCCACGTTCAGTGTGCAATGAGAATTGTCCTCCAGGTACTCGAATGGCAAGAAAAAAAGGGCAGCCTGTGTGCTGTTTTGATTGCATCTCATGCTCTGAAGGAAAAATAAGTAATACGACTAGTAAGTGTTGATATTTTTGTTGCCTGCTGCCATGGAAAGTGAATAATGACGTTAAGCTGATTAACATTTGGAGCCAATTTAATTCAGAATGGTCACCACTACTAAACAGCATAAACAAACACAAAAATGGCTAAATTTAGTCAATTTTATACACATTGAGCTAAAATATGGTGTGATAGTTTAAATTTTGTATTTTTTCACATTTTCTCAGACTCCAGAGAGTGCTTCAGTTGTCCAGAGGACTTCTGGTCCAGCCCACAGCGGGATCACTGTGTTCCTAAGAAAACAGAGTTCCTTTCCTTTCAGGAGCCTCTGGGTATCTGTCTGACAACCACCTCCCTGTTAGGAACATTCATCTGTGCTGCTGTCCTGGGAGTCTTTATCTATCACCGCAGTACACCTATAGTCAGAGCCAACAATTCAGAGCTGAGCTTTTTGCTTTTGGTATCGCTCAAACTATGTTTCCTGTGTTCCCTGTTGTTCATTGGACGACCCAGACTGTGGACATGTCAACTGAGACATGCAGCCTTTGGGATCAGCTTTGTTCTTTCTGTCTCATGCATCCTGGTTAAAACCTTAGTAGTTCTGGCTGTTTTCAAAGCCTCCAAACCAGGAGGTGGGGTCCATCTCAAATGGTTTGGTCCAACAAAACAAAGAGGAACCGTTTTTGTTCTTACTTGCATCCAGGCAGCAGTGTGTGCTGTGTGGATTGTCTCAGCTTCACCAGTGCCCTACAAAAACACCCTATACCACAATGACAAGATAGTTTATGAGTGTGTAGTTGGTTCAACAGTTGGATTCACAATTTTACTTGGCTATATTGGTTTACTGGCTATCCTCAGCTTCATGTTAGCATTTTTAGGAAAAAATCTTCCAGACAACTTCAATGAGGCCAAACTCATCACTTTCAGCATGTTGATCTTCTGTGCTGTGTGGGTGGCCTTTGTACCTGCTTATATAAACTCTCCAGGTAAGTATGCAGATGCAGTGGAAGTGTTTGCCATCTTGGCCTCTGGTTTTGGCCTCCTGGTGGCACTGTTTGGACCCAAATGTTATATAATTCTTCTGAGACCAGAAAGAAACACAAAGAAGGCTATCATGGGTCGTGAATTTCTCAAGTCTTAAGGGATTCAGGATTCTTGATTTTGTGGAGTTAATATTAGCATCATTAAGTTTTCTGAACAATCTCAGTTTTATAAAATTTAAGCCTCTCCCAGAACAGATTGCAGTCATCTCAAAACTTCAAAGCAGTTAATGTCCATGGAATTTTGTTACACCACATTACTTTAGCAACAGACACATAATTTACTCTAAAGATTCTCCATGTTGGAACATTTAGCAGACTTTTGCAACATGTTCTATGAGAATCCAGTGTTGCAAAATGGAATATGTTAAACATGAATAAGAGTAATAACTTGATGCAAATGTAATGCATAAAAATAAATTCAATAGTGTTTTCTGGAGCTACTATGAAAACTTCTTTATAGTAGCTCAAGAAAATTAAATGGCTGAAAAAGCCACTGACTCTTTTCTAATGTTATTATGTTTCTGACTGCGCATAATTATTCCACAGAACTCGGTTAAAAAAAATATATTTAAACTTTTTAGTGTCTTACTAATTTTGACTTCTTAAAAAATCACAAGAAAAAATAAACACAATGAACATTGGTAAACTGTCTAGACTGAAGCATGGTGTTAATTAAATAGCCACCTAATAAGAAGTTAAAACCTTCTACAATGAATGCAAATGTTATGAAAATGTATTTAAATCCATCCATCCATCCATCCATTTTCTTCCGATTATCCGGGGTCGGGTTGCAGGGGTAGCAGCTTAAGTAGGGAGGCCCAGACTTCCCTCTCCCCAGCCACTTGGGCCAGCATCTCCGGGGGGAATCCCGAGGTGTTCCCAGGCCAGCCGAGAAACATAGTCCCTCCAGCGTGTCCTGGGTCTTCCTCTGGGTCTCCTCCCGGTGGGACGTGTCCGGAACTCCTCACCAGGGAGGCGTCCAGGAGGCATCCTAACCAGATGCGCGAGCCACCTCAACTGGCTCCTCTCGACATGGAGAAGCAGCGGCTCTACTCTGAGTCCCTCCCGGATGATCAAGCTTCTCACCCTATCTCTAAAGGAGAGCCCAGACACCATGCGGAGAAAACTTGTTTAGGCCGCTTGTATCCGAGATCTCATTCTTTCGGTCACAACCCAAAGCTCATGACCATAGATGAGGGTAGGAACATAGATCGATCAGTAAATTGAGAGCTTCACCTTTTCACTCAGCTCTCTCTTCACCACGACAGACCTGTACAGCGCCTGCTTCACTGCAGATGCTGCACCTATCCGCCTATCGATCTCACGCTCCATTTGTCCCTCATTCGTGAACAAGACCCCAAGATACTTGAACTCCTCCACTTGGGGCAGGACCTCCTCCCTAACCTGGAGAGGGCACTCTACCCTTTTCTGACTCAAGACCATGGCCTTGGATTTGGAGGAACTGATCTTCATCCCGGCCGTGTCGCACTCAGCTGCGAACCGCTCCAGCGAATGCTGTAGATCACGATCTGATGAAGCCAATAGGAACACATCATCTGCTAAAAACAGAGAAGCGGTGCTAAGGCCACCAAAATTGATCCCCTCAACATCTTGGCTGTGCCTAGAAATTCTGTCCATAAAAGTTATGAAAAGAATCGGTGACAAATGGCAACCTTGGTGAGGTCCAACTCTCACCCGGAACAAGCCTGACTTACTGCCGACAATGTGGACCAGGCTTTGACACCGGTCAAGGGCCCGGTACCCCATACTCCCAGAGTACCCCCCACAGGGTTCCCTGAGGGACGTGTTTGAACGCCTTCTCCAAGTCCACAAAGCACATGTAGACCGGTTGGCAAACTCCCATGCACCCTCCAGGACCCTGCTGAGAGTGTAGAACTGGTCCAGTGTTCCACAACCAGGACGAAAACCGCACTGCTCCTCCTGAATCCGAGGTTCGACTATCCGACAGACCCTCCTATCCAGAACCCCAAATAGATTTATATGTTTAAATAAAGGTTGAATGAATGAAAGAATACACCTTACCATGGAGGCTTAAGAGCGTGATCCCCCTGTAGTTGGAACACACTCTACGGTCCCCTTTTTTGAATATGGGGACCACCACCCCGATCTGCCAATCCAGGGGAACTTCCCCCAATGTCCACACAATATTGCAGAGTCGCATAAGTCAACACAACCCTACAACATCTAGAGCCTTAAGGAACTCCGGGCAAATCTCATCCACCCCTGGGGCCCTGCCGCCGAGGAGCTTTTTAACCACCTCGGTGACCTCAGCACCAGAGATTGGAGGGCCCGACCCAGAGTCCCCAGGCTCCGCTTCCTCAGTAGAAGACGTGCCGGTGGGATTGAGGAGGTCTTCAAAGTATTCTGCCCACTGACCCACGACATCCTGAGTTGAGGTCAGCACACCACCCTTACATAAATAGTGTTGGTGGTGTACCGCTTTCCCTCCCTGAGACGCTGGATGGTGTACCAGAATCGCCCCGAAGCCTTGCTGAAGTCATTCTCCATGGCCTCTCCGAACTCCTCCCATGCCCGTGTTTTTGCCTCAGCGACCACCCGAGCCACATGTTGCTTGGACTGCCGGTACCCATCATCTGCTTCTAGGGTCCCACAGGCCAAAAAGTTCTGATATGGCTCCTTCTTCAGCCTGACAGCATCCCTCATCGCCGGTGTCCACCACCGGGTTCAAGGGTTGCCACCGCGACAGACACGACAACCTTGCGGCCGCAGCTCCGGTAAGCTGCCTCAATAATAGAGGCACAGACATGGCCCACTTGGACTCAATGTCCCCACCTCCCCCGGAACATGTTCCAAGTTCTTCCTGAGGTGGGATTTAAAGCTCCGTCTCACAGGAGACTCTGCCAGACATTCCCAGCAAACCCTTACAATACGTTTGGGCCTGCCAGGTCTGTCCGGCATCCTCCCCCACCATCGGAGCCAAGTCACCACCAGGTAGTGATCAGTGGACAGCTCCACCCCTCTCTTCACCCGTGTCCAAGAGAGACAACAAAGTCGATCATCGAACTGCGGCCTAGGGTGTCCTGGTGCCAAGAGCACATATGGACACCCTTATGCTTGAACATGGTGTAAGTTATGGACAATCCATGATGAACACAGAAGTCCAACAACAGAACACCACTCGGGTTCAGATCAGGGGGGCCGTTCCTCCCAACCACACCCCTCCAAGTCTCACTGTCATTGCCCACGTGAGCAATGAAGTCCCCCAGCAAAACAAGGGAGTCCCCAGGAGGTGCACTTTCCAGTACTGCCTCCAAGGACTCCAAAAAGGGTGGATAATCTGAACTCCCGTTTGGTGCATAAGCACAAACGACAGTCAGAACCTGTCCCCCCACACGTAGGGGGAGGGAGGCCAACCTCTCATTCACCAGGGTGAACCCCAACACACAGGCACCAAGATGGGGGGCAATCATTATGCCCACTCCTGCTCAGCACCTCTCACCAGGGGCAACTCCTGAGTGGAAGAGTGTCCAACCCTTCTAAAGGAAACTGGTTCCAGAGCCAGAGCCATGTGTAGAGGTGAGTCCAACTATTTCTAGCCGGAACCTCTCAACCTCACACACCAGCTCAGGTTCCTTCCCCATCAGTGTGGTGACATTCCACGTCCCAATAGCCAGCTTCTGTAGCTGAGGATCAGACCGCCAGGGTCCCTGCCCTCGGCCACCACCCATCCCACATTGCACCGAACCCCTTTGGCCCCTCCCACAGGTGGTGAGCCCATGGGAAGGGTGACCCACGTCTCCTCTTCGGGCTGTGCCCTGCTGAGCTCCATGGGTAAAAGCCCGTCCACCAGGCGCTCGCCCGCGTGCCCCACCTCCAGGCCTGGCTCCAGAGTGGGGCCCCGGTGACCCACGTCCGGGCGAGGGAACATCAAGTCCATTTATTTTTCTCATCATAAGGGTGTTTGTATTTAAATTAAAACACATAAAAATTAAATCTGCATTTTGTGACTTTTTTTTTTACTTCTGAGTTTGACTCTCAAGTATGACTGAGATTGTGTGACTTTAGGTTTTTCAGAACTTTAAACAAAAAATAAACAGATGTAAAATCTTTGTTGTGTCATTCTTTCTATACGACTTTACACAACACATAATTCCCAAAATAGATTTCAAATAAACTTTACTTTGTAAATGATATTTAAGTTTCAAAACAGTTACAAAATATGAGATTACGAAGTGTTCCTTTTGACTATAGTTCTTCTGTAACCAATCTTAGATAAAGGTAACATTTTACCAGTTTAAATAAATATATCCACTTCAACAAGAAACAGAACAAAATGCAAAACATTTAGTGTTAATATTAGTAATAAATCCTAAATGAAAGATTGTATTTGACTGTAATGCCAACAGACATAAAATAAGGATTACTACATTTTAGTATGGTGATATGGACAAATGCACAGATTTTCTTCCTCCTGATTTATTTATTTATTACAATGCTGTACATCCACGTTCATATTTGTGTATTACAGTATATTAAAAATGGACAATGAGACAGTCAGATTATCCATACTTTTACATAATATACTTTTACAAGTTCAATTTTGCATGTTTTTTATATATAAAATGTAAAAGGATAATGAGTCTACTATTTTACCCAATTTATGTTTTGTGACTTACACACTAACTGTTAGGAACATTGCATTCACATTATGCCAACATGCGTATTTTGCCCAGCCCCATCGTCTTCCTATGGATGTTAAGATTTAGCATTGCAACCAAAAAAAAAGAAAAGGGGACAACACCACCTGACAAATAAAAGTAATCAGCATAAAGAGCAGAAAACTGTGAAGGGAGGAGAGTAATTATGGAGACTTTAATGTGCTCACATTTACTCTTGAGTGTCTACTTAAACTTTGTATATTTTGTGTCTTTCTCTCTTCCTTTGACTTGCGAATTAGGGAAAAAGTTTCATCTGAATGAAATGCACAAGCCAGGCGATGTGGTTCTGGGTGGGCTGTTTGAAGTCCACTACACTTCTGTGTTCCCCAAACAGACATTTACTTCTGAGCCTCAACAGCCGATCTGCAAAGGGTGAGTATCACATACATGCTAATTAACAGAAACACGGATACACAGCTTATGCTTTGTTCAGAACATGTGGTACACTTTTAAAATAATGGTGGTGATTATTTAAAACATACCAATAAACATTTTTACCAGTTTAATGAAGTAAACATTGGTAAAATACTACATGAACATATGTTTGCAATTTTATCAGATCTTTGTATTTTTTACTATTTTTTTCTGCTTGTTTTCCAACAACCATGTTTTTTATTAGATGTTAATGTTTTCTGTGTGTTTGTCAGCTTTGACACTTTAGGGTTCAGGCGTGCTATGACCATGGCCTTTGCTATTGATGAGATCAACAAGAACCCTGATCTTCTACCAAACGTGACTCTTGGATACAGTCTTTACGATAACTGTGGTGCACTTGTTAATGGATTCAGTGGTGCGTTATCCCTGGCCAGTGGTCAAGAAGAGAAGTTCGTGCTACAGGAGAACTGTTCAGGGACCCCTCCAGTCCTGGGAATTGTTGGGGATCACTACTCAACTTTTTCTATTGCCATTGCTGATGTCTTGGGTTTATATAAAATGCTTTTAGTGAGTTTTAAGTTTTCTCTTCTTTCACTCCTGTCTTAACATATTTTCCTTATAGGTCATTTTCTATAATGATTTTTACACCTTTAAATGTTTTTATCCACATAAGATGAGATACTTTTTGTGTTTCCTTAGGTGAGTTATTTTGCCACATGTTCTTGCCTTAGTGATCGGCAGCGCTTTCCCACCTTCTTTAGAACCATTCCAAACGACGACTTCCAGGTGAAACACAGTAACCAAGTTGTGAACTTACATGTATTAGAGCACGTTAAGAATTGGTACTGAATGACCCAGCCATTTCCGGCTTTGACCTTAAAACATAGCTAAAATTTAACTTGTATATTGAAGAAATTTAAAAAAATAAATTCCAGACAACAAAAACGTAAATTCTTGGTAAATTTCTTCATAGGTAAATGCCATGATTCAGATTCTGAAACACTTTGGCTGGACGTGGGTCGGCCTGCTGGTCAGTGATGATGATTATGGACTTAATGTTGCCCGGTCTTTTCAGTCTGACCTGGTTCAGGCTGGTGGAGGTTGTCTGGCCTATCTTGAGGTTTTGCCCTGGGACAGTGACCCAGGTGAACTAAAGAGGGTTGTAAATTTGATCAAGACGTCAACAGCCCATGTGGTTATTGTGTTTGCGCATGAGATTCATATGATTCAACTAATGGAAGAGGTTAGAAATTAATTGTATGAATGTTATTTAAAAAAATCTAATTTTGTTGACAAAAGTGAAAACATTCACAGAAAATTGTCTAGAAAAAAAACATTAAAATTACAGTTTGCCTAAAAGATAAGTGTTTTTTCCTGTCTATTTAGCCTAACATTGTATTTATAATATAATACATTCATCACAATACATATTAGAAGGTTACAGCAACCTGGTGGGATGAAAACAGTTGCTTTGATTTATTTTTTATTTTTTATTTTTTTATGAAATAGAAAATACTAGCTATCTTATTAAAAAAAAAATAACAGTTAAAATTCAAACTGGCTGATTAACATGTAAAATTTTAGGTGGTGAGACAGAATGTGACAGGTCGTCAGTGGATTGCCAGTGAAACCTGGTCATCAGCAAGTGTACTTCAGACTCAGCAACTTGTGCCATATCTGAGCGGAACGCTGGGCATCGCCATCCGTCGAGGAGAAATACCAGGGCTCAAGGACTTCCTGTCACAAATAAGTTATGACCAAAATGATGGCAATAAAAATAATTTAGTACGACTTTAATCTCATAGGAAACATCTCAAATAAATAATCTATATAAAAAAATAAAGTATTGAAAGATTTTTTGTGAGTATTGTTGTATTATATTTCAGGTGAGGCAGTTTTGGGAAAACACATTTCAGTGTAAATTTGATCCAGCAGATTGGGTTGAAAGAGACGAAGCTTTGTGCACGGGAGACGAGGATATTGAACAGGTGGATACTGAGTTTTTGGACGTCTCTAACCTCAGGCCTGAGTACAATGTTTTCAAAGCTGTGTATGCACTGGCCTATGCCCTTGATGCCATGCTGCAGTGTGAGCCAGGAGAAGCATCATTCAGTGGCCACAGCTGCGCCACTTTACAAACTCTGGAACCACGGCAGGTGGGGTGATCACTTGTACATATTCCCTAAACAGCTGCTGAAACCAGAGGTCTTTGTTTGCATGCAGTAATATTAAAAAAGAGACAAACAACAACAATAATGACAGTTTAATACCTACTGTTTAATTATAATGATTTAAAATGAATGGTTTGTATTGAATGAAACATGTTTTGTAAGATATTAGACTTGGCAGAACAAAATATATTAAGGACATGAAATCTTTCTAATTTCTAGTTTATTATTCTTTTAATTTTTTTTTAATCAGTTTTGATGTTTTAATGTTATAAAGCATTTAAATACATGCACAATGATGAGTATCTTTTGCCACCTGCTCCTCATTATTTAAACAGCCTGTCTGTTTTGATTTGTGAAAAATGGTGGTCTGCAACTAGACTCAAGATTTGTTTGAGGTTTCATCTGCTGAGCCACTAGGATGGTAAATGCATTTGTGAAGCATGGTGATGTGAACAAACTGGGAAGAGAATCTTAGGATTTTATAACATGACACTTCAGATAAACAGAATTCATGTTTTCTGTTTGCAAAAAGACCATTGGTGTAGGATTTGTAGTTTATTGACTTCTCAGACGCTTATAAAGTTGTTACTCGGCACGACTTTATCTGTTTTCCTCTCTAAAACTAAATGGATAATAATGCTGTTGTTTGTTAATGCCTTCTCTTCTTGTAGCTTTTACACCATATGAATGATGTCAACTTTACCACATCATTTGGTGATCAGGTGACATTTGATAAGAATGGTGATGCCTTGCCGATATATGATGTTATGAACTGGCTGTGGCTTCCTGATGGAAGAATTAAAGTTCAGAATGTGGGTGAAGTAAAGAAGTCAGACTCCAGAGGTGAAGAGCTTGTGCTCAATGAAAACAAAATTTTCTGGAACACAAATAAAGTAAGTTTTTTTTTTTTTTTTTTTTTTTAAAGACCGTCACTGTTCTAAAAAACACATTGGAGCAGTTTGATAAATATTACTGAAAATATTTCTTCTTTCTCAGCCACCTCGTTCTGTTTGCAGTGAACCTTGTCCTCCAGGTACCCGCATGGCCAGAGAGAAGGGGCAACCTGAGTGCTGTTTCAGCTGTATCGCTTGTTCTGACGGCAAAATCAGCAATAAAACTAGTAGGCATTAATGAAAATACTTTTGTTTTAACTTGTGAAGTTTGTTTAATGTTTCTTAATATTATAGCCATGTCCTATTTCCCAGATTCCTTGGAGTGCTTCAGTTGTCCAGAGGACTTCTGGTCCCACCCCCAACGTGACCACTGTCTTCCTAAGATAATCGAGTTCCTGTCTTATGAGGAGCCTCTGGGTATCTGTTTGACTACCACCTCACTTCTGGGAACATTCATCTGTGCTGTTGTCCTGGGGATCTTCATCTGTCACCGCAGTACACCTATAGTCAGAGCCAACAATTCAGAACTGAGCTTTTTGCTCCTAATGTCACTCAAACTATGTTTCTTGTGTTCACTGCTCTTCATTGGACAACCCAGACTGTGGACATGCCAACTGAGACATGCAGCGTTTGGGATCAGTTTTGTTCTTTGCATCTCATGTATCTTGGTAAAGACGATGGTGGTTTTGGCTGTGTTTAAATCCTCCAAGGCAGGAGGTGCAGCAAATATCAAATGGTTTGGAGCTATGCAGCAGAGGGGGACCATTTTAGTTCTTACTTGCATTCAGGCAACAATCTGCACCACTTGGCTTGTCTTATCCTCACCAGCTCCACATAAAAATACCCAGTACCATATTGACAAGATTGTATATCAATGTGCAATTGGCTCTACTGTTGGTTTTGCTATGTTAATGGGCTACATTGGAATATTAGCTGTTCTTAGCTTTCTTTTAGCATTTTTTGCAAGAAATCTTCCCAACAACTTCAATGAGGCCAAACTCATCACTTTCAGCATGTTGATCTTCTGTACTGTGTGGGTGGCCTTTGTTCCAGCCTACATCAACTCCCCAGGAAAATATGCAGATGCAGTGGAGGTGTTTGCTATCCTGGCCTCCAGTTTTGGTCTCTTGGCAGCACTGTTTGGGCCTAAATGTTACGTACTCCTGATGAAACCAGAAAAGAACACAAAGAAAGCTATCATGGGTCGGAGCATCAAGTTATAATGATGTCTTCCATTTGTTTTGGACTCTATAACCTGAATCAGGAAATGACATTGCGTCCTATTTAACTGTGTTTCAGTGGCAAGTGAAAACACTGTTGAATTTGCTCATTATTGTGTTCAGTAACAAAGTTAAATGTTTTTCATAGTAGTAGGGAAGTGCATTTGATTTTTTTTTGTTAACTTGAAACTGAGAAATCCAAACTCTTGACCAAAAAAAAAGAGAATGCAGCCATTATTTCCAACCTTGTACTTTGCAATAACTGTTCCAAAAAACCTAAATTAATGAAGAATTATATATAAAATCTCAAATCTCTATTGTCTTTATTTTGCAACTTTTTTTTACAGTTTTTCAAAGAGGAATTATTATATTTTATGGGGCTTTCACTGTTCTTCAGTAGCTTTTAGAGGTCAAATAAATACTAGCCAGATGCATGCTCAATAAGTAGAAAAATCTAGAAAAGTTAAATCATGTCCTCTGGACATTCAAAAAACAAAACAAAGCAAAACAATAACAACAACAAAATAATGTAGAAACATTTTGTCTTTCATCCGAAAGACTTCTTCAGTCTGAGGTGCTGTATTCAGCTCAGTCTTATAAAAAGCACCATCTCAGAGTGGATCAACCAATTTGCTACTGACAACCAAAACCAGCTGCTCACATGATCAAGAAGGACCATCAGCTTAATGATATTAGCACACTGATGACTGTTTACTATTCACAGGAGGCTGAGTGATACTAGCAATAACAGCATTTTAAGAAGAGGAAAGTTGAACACAGAGACCTCTACCCCGTTTAATGATGGATGGTTTCTTTTCACAAAGATGGCCTCCTTTACTCCTCTCTCAAACCATCGTTCCTTTCTATCCAGGATGTGAACATCTTCATCCCTGAACGAATGACAGCTGGCCTGGAGATGAGTGTAGACCGCAGAGTCCTGGTCTGATGATGTTGATCTTCTGTGCTGGTCTATCCTTTTAGCCAGTGGCTGTTTAGTTTCCCCGATGTAAGACTGATCACAGCCCTCCTGACACTGAACAGCATACACAATATTACTCTGTTTGTGCCGGGGGACTGGATCTTTGGGATGAACCAGTCTTTGCTGGAATAAAGTTTGGGGTTTAAAATCCACTGGGACGTTATGTTTAGAAAATAAACGTCTCAGTTTCTCTGATACTCTCTCAACTGCAGGCACAGTTTCAACCAATTGTTAGCATGATTAACTCTGTCACTTACAATGTTTCCAAATATCTGGTTTCTGTACTCATCTCTTTAGTTGGCAGCTCAGAACACCACATACAGAACACCATGGACTTTGTGGATAAGGTGAGGGATGTCATCATGGAGACTGATTAAACAATGGTCTCTTTTGATGTCACATCTCTCTTTATGTGCATTCCTGTTGATGATGCAGTAGAGGTGGTCAGTTTAAGATTAAAATCAGACACCACTCTGAGCAGCAGGACCACACTTTCCACAGAACAACTGTGTCAACTTTTGAAACTGTGCCTGCAGTCAACCTACTTCACACATGGGGAGCAATATTATAGGCAGAAACATGGGTGTGCTATGGGGTCTCCAGTTTCTCCTATTGTTGCCAACCTGTACATGGAGGAGGTAGAAAAGAAAGCCTTGACGTCCTTTTCAGGGACACCACCAAGTTAATGGTTCAGGTATGTTGACGACACCTGGGTTAAAATTAAATCTCAGGAAGGCCAACATTTTACTGACCACATCATCTCTGTGGATAAATACATCAAGTTCACACGAGAAGATGTAAAAAATGGCAGGTTGGTTTTCTTGGACTGTAAGGTCTTAGTCTCTGAAAGAAGACATTTGCAAACTGAGGTGTACCGCAAACCCACCCAAACAGACCAGTATTTGCAGTTTGACTCCCATCATCTTTTGGAGCACATGTTAGGAGTCATCAGGACTCTGTATCACAGAGCAGACAGCGTCCCCACTAGCTCAGGAGCCAGGCAGAAGGAGAAATCCCACACAAGACAGGCTCTAGAGCAATGTGGATATCCTAACTGGGCATTCCTGAACGCAGAGAAGAAACCCAAACAGGACTCCAGTCAGCCATCAGGTGAAAAGGAGGAACCCAGACCCAGACCAGTGGTCATTCCGTATGGTGAGGGAGTATCAGAGAATCTGAGACGTTTATTTTCTAAACACAACATCCCAGTGGCTTTTAAACCCCAAAATACATTACGGCAAAGACTGGTTCATCCAAAAGATCCAGTCCCCCGGCACAAACAGAGTAATGTTGTGTATGCTGTTCAGTGTCAGGAGGGCTGTGATCAGTCTTACATCAGGGAAACTAAACAGCCACTGGCCAAAAGGATGGCCCAGCACAGAAGAGCAAGAACATCAGGCCAGAACTCTGCGGTCTACACTCATCTCCAGGCCAGCGGTCACTTGTTCAGGGATGAAGATGTTCACATCCTTGATAGAGAAGAACGACTGTTTGAGAGAGGAGTAAAGGAGGCCATCTTTGTGAAAATAAATTGTCCATCATTAAATAGGGGTGGAGGCCTCCAGGTTCAACTGTCTCCCTCTTAAGCCCCCAGTATACTGCCGCGTACATCCATACGCAGAGGTATGCACGTACGTACATAGAGGTACGAGCGTACCCCCCGGGGCATGTCCGTGCAAAGCTCAAATTTTTACAACCGCATAAGCAGTGTCGCACAATAAACTGCCCAGCGACGGACTGTTTTGTATGCGACACTAACGTATTAAATTCCCCTTCTTCATCTCTGATCTGGCCTTTTCTTTTGTTTGTTTTTTGCCAATAGGTAAGTGATCTCTTCCTCCTCCGTTGATGCAATGACTGAAATGATGACGAATGAATTTGTCACGAGCAAACTAAACTCAGGTCCAGCTTGGCTGCGGGAGGGTCTGGAGATTTCCTGGTGGGCTGGTCTGATGTGTGGGCTGTAGAACCAGCGCTCCCTGTTTTTTTTTTAGATCTTTTATTAACAACATATAAACACAAACACCACTGCGGCTGGCTGCCAGCGCTCGCTTTTTTCTTTTTTCCGACCTGTCAATCAATCCAGTAGGCGTGTCAGCAAATGACCAATCGGCGACCTCAATTTGTCCCGAAGGTAAACGCCCCTTGTCTGTGAAGCTGCTCTGCAGCTGCTCGGGGTGTACGCTGGAGTACAAAGTCTGAAACCTCTGCGTACAGTACAGTACACACGTACGTACGCGTGAACGGACGTACGCGGCAGTATACTGGGTGCTTTACAATGCTGTTATTGCTAGTATCACTCAGCCCCCTGTGAATCGTAAACAACCATCAGTGTGCTAATGATCCAACGTTAGGCTGGTGGCCCTTCTTGACCATGTGAGCAGCTGGTTTTGGGTGTCAGCAGCAAACTGGTTGATCCACTCTGAGAAGGTGCTATTTACAAGACTGAGCTGAATACAGCCAGTGTTGCCAGACTGGGCGGTTTACCGCCAATTTTTGCGGTTTGCATTCTGATTTTGCGGGTTAAAATCGCTTTGGGCGGGTGGGGATAATTTGGATGGATTTGGAGTCAAATTGGCGGTTTTTGAGTTAACCTACTAAACATATTTCCAACAATCATTCATCATTATTTCATAGAAAAGCTCCCCTTTGGCTACTGTCATCTGCCAGGGTGTTCACAACAGAGAACTGGTGAGACAATGGACACCTCGTTGAGTGGGCTGACACGTTGCGGCTGGACGTCGGAGCGGTCGCCATATTGGATGTGGCAGAACTGCCGGTCAACTGATACAAGGAAATAGACTGGACTTTATAAAGCACCGATCTACAAAGTGTTTTATGTTAATGCCTGTCATTCACACACACTCATACATTTGGAAAACAAACAGGCACCAAATAAAACATTTAGAACTTCTAAAGTGATTATTAAAAATGTTTACTCCTTAAATGTTTAGGTTAAAGGTAAGCACTAAACCAACATGAATTATTTTGAGTGTTTACAACTACTAATGTGTGTATTAGTATTAATGTGGTGAAAAATATAGAAATGTTCATATTAAACATTTAATCTGTGTCTATAATAACCAGATCCTGAAATATGACGTGTTGATTTTCTGAATAAAGAACACCAACGTTCACATTTATCTGATTTTAATTAATCACATTGTTGAACATATAAATGCCAATATTTACACGGGGTATGTGGTA